TTCTCGGAAAAACCGATAATCCGGAATCGCCGAAGTCCCGACGAGTTCGGATTAAAGACTTTTGACTGTATATGTATGCTTTCATCTCTTCAGCATATATATATATATATATATATCTTCAGCATATATATATATATATATATATATGCTACAACACACTGCTGGAATTGTGCAACATAGCAGAAAAGACTGTATTTAAACATCGCTTCAAGCACGGGCACTCCTTATCAGCAGTAACAAAATAATTAGAAGAAAACATACTTCAATTTTAAAAAACACAAACATCCCAGATGACTCAATATTTTACAAAAGACATATACTCTGCCTTTAAATTAATTAATACGAATAAAAACATATAAAGAGTGCCTTTAATTAAAAATAAAAGATGGGTAACTGTTATGCATTTGCATAATTATTTGCAATCAGCAGTAGTTTCTTTAATTAGAAAATTCATTAATGTTGATATTTTTTTCTTTTATATATTCTGCAGAACCTTCTGCTTACTTATCAAATTTGCCTTTTAATTTTGGCAAAACAATCAAAGTTTTCATCCATATTTTCGAGCTGAATTACTTGGTTTAATTTAGAGAATGCTTCAGATAAATCAATTTATATTTCTTTTAAATCACTGATAGGAACTGAATTCTTGCAGTATCATCAAACAACAAAAGAATTTTGAAAAGCATATTTTTTTAAGATAATAAGGCATCTGTAATAAAGGAGTTTTAGATCCAATCCCCAAGCGTAATAAACCAGTAATACCTTGTGATAATATTTTTTCAAGTTTTGGAGTTCTGTCAAATATTAAATAAAAAAACTATTTTCATTTAAAACCAGTACAATTTCTGCAAGAAAAGTAAAATCCTACCTTTAAATGGTTTAAAACCAAGGACCAATGCAGCTTCTTTGTAGATGTATATCAAGAATAAGTGAAAACATATGTAAGCAATTTAATTACAAATCTAAAATTCATTCTGGCATTCTCTTCCAAAATATTCTGGTTTCATCTATCTTATATATCTATTTTGGCAAACAACCTTCAATCAACCATTTCTTTGTAGTTTCCTTGAAATTTTCAGCAGCTTCAAAATCATAACTAATAACTTCAGAACTGGAACAGAACGTTCTTCTGTAATGCCTACATTTTGTAAATATATCACCTTTAAACTTATAAGGTATTTTTCCCGCCTTCCTAGCCTGCCTTTGTGGTGTAGTGGTTCAGCACACTAAGCCGGTATTTCAGAGGTGCATGGTTCGATTCCCGGCAAAGGCGGTTGCTAATTTTTTATCTCTCTTGCTTCCAAAAAATCCTAATGTCTCTACAGTGGCACCCGAACTAAAAGGGTTGTGGATGATGTCTCTCCACACACAGGATTTGGCGATTGGGTCCCCTAAAAAGCCCAGTTGCCCTTTACAAGGAGGAGTATTTCTCACACTGAGCCAGTATTTCAGAGGTCCGTGGTTCGATTCCAGGCGAAGGCGTTGCTAATTTTTCATCTCTCTGGCCTCAAAATAATTTAATGTCTCTACAAACTGATAAAATTAAACTTAGTGTTGCATATTTGATCCTAGAATTTATTTTTTTCTTGATGAGTATAAAATAGTCTGTATACTTTCATTTGTACAGTTAACAAATTCAGAGGAATATTCTTATTAATATGATTATCTATCAACACAATTACATTTTCTTGGGGGATAGGAGGTCTTTTTGTGGTCAGAGTTCTGCATTTTACATTTATTGCATTTTTAACTGTTTAATTTATTTTACTATCATTGAAATGGTTGACTGTGACAATATATTTCTATCAGCTATTTCCCCAACATATGCACATTAATGTGCAAAAGACAAAGATGAGAAAATACCATAGATGAACATTATAAGTGGTCTTAGCAGCCCTTAATTACAGTACAAAGTTCGAGATCCAGACTCGTTGGGACTTCACTGATTCCGGATTTTCCCGGATATTAGATCATCAGTTTATCTAGTCAAATTTCATGTAGAAATTATAAAATAGAAAATATGAAATCATAATTTATGAAATAATGAACATTTATGATCTAAAGGATATCAAAATTTACAAAAAAAAAAAAAAAAAAAAAAAAAAAAAAAAAAAAAAAAAAAAGCTTAATATTTATTTGTCTACTTTGTTAAATATTTCTTTCAATTAAGTTGCTTAAATTGTTTCATTTTCAGTACTTTCTCTTTAATTCTGTAGACAGACATAATTTCGTGTTCAGTTACATTGTTAAAGTCCTGTACTTGCTGTGTGGATAATTCCAACTAACTTGTCAATCAAAATTTTTTTCATTTTCAGTAACCTCTGTCACTTTCTTCACTATCGGTAGCGGTATATTCGGTATCTAGAACCATACTACAGATTTTGCCATCCATTACTTGATGATGATTGAGGGAGCATTGTCATCACAATGAAAACCTTCTTTTATATCAGCTTCATTTATTACTGCTTTTCCACATTTCTTTACAAAATCCATTAATTGGAAAATTTCACCTTTGGTTTGTGATATGCGAAATTCTTTAAAATTTGCAACTATCATCATAAAATTTAGCTATCTTGTTCACTATACTTATTTGGCTATGTATCATGAGATAAGTGACTAAAAACAAATTGTTCCGCTAAATTTTATCTTGCTTCTATTGCCCACTGAGAATATTAAGCTTGAACTGTATTAGTTATTTATTATACTTATGTCTATTTCCTGTACATGCTTAAGTCTGAATCCTGAATAAATAAATTCCCACATATAGTTAAAGCTTATTGTGGGCAGGCGCTAGATATCTTATTGCCTGGTGCAGTCTCTGTGGGTCCTATTATTCTGCCGCCTGTGCGGCCATACGAGGCCTGGCGCTGGTTCTGGGTTTATGTGAATAACAAATCAGTTATTCTTAATTCAAATAGCACTAAATGTAATCTTTTGGCCTATGAGTATCATTAAGAAAATATATTTTTAGTGCATGGAAAGAAAATTTTGTTAAATTTTTCCTTGTCATCATTTCTTAGCGCATTTATCTTAAATCTGTAATCATCGCCAAGCGTAATGTTAACATAACCAGTCACCATTCTCTTTATTATTCAATTACTAACATAAAAAAATTGTTTAGCCATTGCTATACGACTCATTACTCAAGTTGTCACGCATTGATAAACATGTGGTGATGAAAGCAAAATATAATAAATAATGATTCGCCAGATTGGCATCAGGGATATAAAATATTACTACATATAAAATCAACGATGTTATCTATGTAGAATGTTTCAGTTTGAGGTGTATGTCAAGCAGACACGCAGTAATGGAGCCAAATTATCGATCATATAAATTTATTCTAAAATAATTGTTTCTTCAATAACGAGGTATTTTATTTAATGCCGAAGTGAAATTAAGAATCAGGACTCACCACATGTTTTATTATGAGCAGGGGGGAATAAAATGCACATGCATAAAGCATACCAAAAAAAAGGTTGTTGGTGGCTTTGAGGTCCAGATTTTAGATCATTCCGGATGCTCAATGTCTGTATAACGGACTTTGTACTGTACTTATTCTTGATACTCCTGCAAAATACTCTGATATTTGTTAATGTCTATTTTTTTGTTGTTTGCTTGCTGTGATAAGTAGTAGAAGCTCGAGGTATAATATAACTGCATCACGCCTTTTCACAGGTATTTTTCGTCTCCAGAATATTCTGTAACTTACTACAACAAGCAAATAATAAAAAATAAAATCATCAAAGCTCATACAGCACATTTTGTAGGTGCAATGACATTTTAATAGTTTAGCTATGTTGCATGTACAAATATAATGCATGCATGTACATACTGCCAGTAAAGTAAGAGTATTTTTAATCTTAGTTTTTGACCACCATAAATACAAGTCATTTTAAGTGCAAGACTACTTATGGTTGACCATTAAATTACAAAGCAAGCATTAGATTTCATAAACTGTTATTTCAAGAAAGAACTGCTATTTATCACTTATAAATACAACTCTTCAAGGGATAAAGACCACATAAAGATTTCCTCATTAAATCAGAGATTTAAATTTCAATGGTTAGCTATTGCATCAGCATTTAAAATAATTTTTAATGCAAATTAATAGGCTTAAAACACAAGTATAACAAAAGAACATCTTTTGCCAGAAATTAATGAATTTCTTCCCCCCCCCACACACACACACATTGGTAAAAAATTGCATCAAGAGCAAAACAGTTTATCTGCAATAGAAACTTTAGAGGCCTGCAATAAAGAAATTTAAAACAAACAAAATTTAAAAATTAAAATAGTTCTGAGAACAGGTATTCAGATAAGTTAAATCCCCTCTAGCTATTTGGTATACACTTCAATTCATTTATAATATTCTTACACAAGAGAAAATGCAGAATTAATAATTATGACTCAACACATATATCTAGCACACAGTGGTATTTCAAAGCAAATCTGGTAAAACACTTCTGAATTAAAGCATTACCATTATCATTCAGAAAATTTCAAAACAGTTTATCTGCAATAGAAACTTTAGAGGCCTACAATAAAGAAATTTAAAACAAACAAAATTTAAAAATTAAAATAATTCTGAGAACAGGTATTCAGATAAGTTAAATCCCCTCTAGCTATTTGGTATACACTTCAATTCATTTATAATATTCTTACACAAGAGAAAATGCAGAATTAATAATCATGTTTCAACACATATATCTAGCACACAGTGGTATTTCAAAACAAATCTCGTACAAAACTTCTGAATTAAAGCATTACCATTATCATTCAGAAAATTTAGTCTTGAATATTTTTATTATCAAAACACCCTCAAAAGATTATGGACAGAACATAAATGAACATCATATATAGCTAATTAAAACTTAATACAGCAAATAATGTCCATAAACTAACAAGTAATCATTAGAAAGTCAAAATGTTCTATAAACTAAACACATAATAATCACAACATATTAAGAAAAATAATAATTTTAATTCCATTGTTATACATGACTTCTCCTACAGTGGAAAATACGACTTGACTAAATTTTAACTTGGACAGAATGGCAGCACAGGTTATTTTTAAACCCTAGAAGGTACAAAAAAATATTAAAAAAACCATTCATATTACACACATGTACATGTAAAATAAATTTCAATCAATGAAACTGAAAACATACAGTTAAATTTTAATTTTATTAAACATGTTTGTCTCTGAAAAAAAAAAAATTACACAATATTATTTACAAATTTGTGTAATATATACCAACACTCCCCCCTTCATGAACTTTTGCAGGTATGAACAAGCCTGTTCTCAAACAGTGAAACTTGTTTGGAGTCGAAAAAAAAATATATATTAAAAATGGTTGGTGGAAAGAGGAAATCGAATGCTGATTACGACAGTGCAAAAAACGTTACAAGTTAGAAACAAAAGATGTTATAATAAAAAGACTTGAAAATGGTGAGGAAATGGTGAATGTTATACATTTGAATAATATGAATTGTTCAACAATTGGAACAATTCTTAAGAATAAAAATCACATCAGCAAATTTCATGTTGCCAAGTAGGATTTTATAGTCAAAATTCATAGATCTCTCTGCAGCAAACTAACTTTCACAAAAAAATTGCATCAAGAGCAAAACAGTTTATCTGCAATAGAAAATTTAGAGGCCTGCAATAAAGAAATTTAAAACAAATTTTTAAAATTTCTGGAAATCTAAATAACATTACAAACTACAACATGCACTGCTGAGTGATCATTTTCTATGCTAAAGTGTCTGGAAAATTATTTATGAGTTAGCACATGTGAAATGCATTTACATGGATTATGTTTGTTGTATATATGGACTTTGTAAGAAATAGACTAACCCAAACGGCTTTTCTCCTTCTTCTGAGGCGTTGCTGGCTGTCACCTTGATCACATCCGGAGGAGTAGGGACGACTTGCAGAAATTTAACATTGGTTGCCTATTGCAGCGTGTATAATTGTCAAGAAAAATCTGGTTGTAGCGCCTCATTTCACAAATTAGAATTTCTACATATTTTTATTTTTGAAATTGAGATTGATTTTAAAAATTTAGCATATTTGTCAAGCATAATTAATGTTCCAAATAATTATGAAGCTATTGCATGCTTTCAGGGCTGGATATTTTTTTAGCTTTTCCTATGCCGTAAGGAAATTTGTAACAACAGGAATTTTATTTCAATTATATTTCATAATACATCATAGTGATAAACACCTTTGACTCCTTAAAAATTTTTATACATTTAATTCTAATATTAAAATTGTATTTAACCGTAATAATTAATTTTGCTTGTATTTTATAGTAATTACTTTTTTTTAATTTATTTTTAGTTCTGCATAAGATTTTTTTTATTTACTGTTAATTTAATTTATTAGCCCAAAGCGGTGGTAGCCTAGAAAGGCTGTTAGTTTCGAAGCGACATTTTGTGCTGTTTTACTATAAATGTCCGTGTCTCCTTGCAAATTGTTGTTACCAAATATTATCGCCCTGTATTATATGTAAAGAAATTAAATAATGAAGGATCTGCATGAATACATGTATGTTTCTCGCACTGTGACAAAAACAACAGTATCTAGAGCCATCAAATTTTGAATAATGTAATCCTCCACCCGAACATGGGCATCTGGACGCCTGAATTTCGAATTTGTTTCAGTCTATTTCATATTTTGTAAGACTTTAACGAATTCTTGATTAACAAACTCAACGAGTTCAGAGCAAACACTGTACGGAAAATAACAATTTTATCTCCAGCGCGGAAATTCTAAAGATATGCTGTTTTCAAATGTATGTGATTTCAAATGTATGTATGGTCGAAGAGCATGATACTCAATAAATATATAGGTAACACACAAAACTATAAAAAAAGGTTCCCTTTGGGCGTAATATAAAATTTGAGTGCTTCTAGATTTTATTTTATCTTTTTTTTCCCCCTTTATTACGCTCAGAAAATTTTATGCTCCGAATTTTATGAATTATTAAAATAACTAATCCACTTTAATGATAATAATTTAATGCTCATATAATCAAATAAATATGATCGTTTTGAATATTATTATAGTTTGGAAAATCACTGCCTGAAAATGTTCATTAATTTAAAAAAAAAAAAAAATGTCAGATCTTGTTTAATTTTACCTTATTTATTTCAAAGTATCACGTACTATCAATCTTATTTAATTAATTTAATTTTAATTTATTTTTACAAAAAATTAAGTTCATAAATTTTGTGCTTACCGTTTTTACCAAAGTAAAGATGTTTGTACAAGAATTACGAGTGAAAAAAATGCACGAAATGCAGTAAAAAGAGCTTTAATGAGATATATTAAATCCTATTTGGAAAAAACTGTGGATTTCATAATCTCATCACTATGCAACGTATCACATTAATTAAAAAAAAGAGAGAGAGAGAGAACTACTCGTTGTTAAAGTATATTACCGAATTTTAGTAGAAACAGGGGAAAATCAGAATTGTAACGACAATGTACTTTTTAATAAATCATATATGTACTACACAATAAAATATTTTATTTTTCTATTAAAAGCTGATTACAATTTCTGATTTATAAAATGTTGCAACTAGCTTTATTGTTTCGCCTCATATTTCAAGTGCATGTGTTTTTAACAGTATATCCTTCTTTATTGCACTTTGAAATGTTAAAACTGTGCTTTCAGCACGCCTGAGTTTTGTACTCATATGTGTGACTGAATATCGTTGAATATTCACTATAAATATGAATTTACATACACAAATTCCTTGAATGTCAAAAATTAGGCGTTATACTCAAAAACTTCAGTTATATCAAACAAACCAATATGTCAAAAGAATTTATAGAAATCCTTGTTTTTAAACTTTCATTGTTAAAATTTAAAATACAATATAATTTTAAAATCTAGGGGAAAAACAAGCATTTCTTGAAACTTTTTTGAAGAAGGAATCTACTGGTATAAAATCTCTTAAAATTAATGGAGCCAAACTTAATCCCAGCTTAAGAAAAACAGTTAGTGTATGGAAGGGTTAGTTATGCTGAATGCAAAAAATTACACTCAAAAGAGCAATTTGCCATTAGAAAATAAAATTATGTCCCTCCAAATGTCAATGCTGATAGCAGTAACTTGAAGTTATTCTTCAAGTTCTGAACTTAATTAAGCTATTGGTATGTAATAAATTGTGCCTTCACGATTATTTTGCAAAGATTTTTTTATATAGATACTACAAAAGGCAGCTAGATAGTAGTAAAATCGTTGAACACTAATAATTTAAAGCAGCTTTACATCCCAACAAATGGATTTTTCCTGTCCACATTTAACATGAATATGAGGCAATTTCATTTAAAAAGGTCCTTCACGAAGACTTAACATTGACTATGAGTCCTCATCTGGAATTAAATTTGGCTTGGTTTATTAGATTACGGCAAAGCACATGAAGGCGATCTGCCCAAGGGAAGGGGCGGTGCTTTCGTGAAAGACCACCCGAGGGAATCTGCTTTGAACCTGTTACACATAGTTAAAACCATGGAAATGCTCATGTGATGAGCCTGTTCACTGCAGTCTGAATCCAGCTCAAATTACCAGTGTATTAAGAGATAGTCCTCACTTACTTTACGGTACGCTAAATAAAATAAACAATATCACGAAAGCCACTTTATGCTACTGAAATGGTAATAACTTATTATTCCAGGTTACCATTTTTCATCTGGTATGAGATTTTGATCTTTTTTGTTATCGGACAGCCCACCAGAGGCTAAGTGGGGGAAGTCGCCGAAAACTGGTAGTTTGATCCAGGTTCGAGTCCCGGCAATGGGCTGGTTGCATGGACACTGCGATGATTTAATGAACACCATGCATACACACTTTAAAATTTTAATTATATCCACAGAATTATGATGAAGCACTTAAAATTCTTAAAGAAAGATTTGGTAGGAAAGATCTCCTAATTAATTTTCGTACACACATTTTTAATTTACAACCTGTCGGAAGTTCGAATGATATCCATGCTTTGAGAGAATTATACAAAACCTATAACATACAAGTAAGGTCGCTAAATTCACCAGGAATCAAAAGTTAATGATAAGGGATTTTACTCTATCCTTTAATAATGAAATGTATTCCTAAGGATATAACACTTGATTTTGCATTTCAAAACAGATTAAGAAAATTTTAATCTCGAAGACCTCATGAAATTTCTAAAATAGGAAATCGAAAGTCGTGAACAAACTTCATTAAATTTATCTTACTCTAAGAGTTATGCAAATTTTCCCCAAAAGCATTTTATTCCATCTAATGAAAAACAAAACAATTTCCACACTTGTAGTTCTTTTAATGCCAACAAGATTAGTCATTCCCATAATGTTAACAAAGTTGCAGCTACTCAGTTTTTTTCCTTGTTTATTTTGTGGAAACAAAGATCAAGTTTCAGAAAAAAGTGTTATAATGCTGGAAGAAAGATAATAGAGTTTAAAAGATTCTAATTGGTGGTTTCTTCATTTTGAAAGGAACTGTAGAACAAAAATTTGCCCTTTTCAATCAAAATGTAATTCTAAATATCATAACATTTTTTTGTGCAAGAAAACGTTTAATAAAGAAGAAATTCAGAGTAATTCTGATGTCATATGCACAGAAATTTCTTCTAAATATTTAAGTGTAAATCAAAAAGCTAGAGAATTAATCGATGACTTGCTGACTGTTAAACTTATTTGTGACTGTAAATTAAATAATACAGTAGCAGATACAGAAATGTAATTAACTGCCGTTAAGGCTGATATTCTACCAGAAAGATACCGTACACCACATGGAAGTGTTATTTTCATGTCAGCTCTCGAACAATTTTTAAAGGTTTCTCTCATTTACTTACCTTTATCAAAGTGTTCTGTAGATGGTAAATATAAGTCACCTATTCTTATAACATGCCAATGGTTAATACGTTATATAATGATTTACTTTTGTTGTTAAGTGCTTTTAATGAGTTAAATAGAGATGATAAATGAAAGTTTAATTCTGAATGTAAAAATGTAAACATTACTAATGACAGCTTGGTTGAAATGCCTTTTTTACGAAAGTGAAAATTTTA